TTTTTATCTTTATTTATTTTGCCTAATTTTAAATAAAAAATAAATAATTAAAAAAAAATAAAATTGGGCAAAAAGGTTCCAGGTCAAATTTTGCCAAAATTAAAAATGAGTGAATTCTCCATTTTTATATGTATTTAAAGGGCTAATTAAGAGATAAATTTCTAATTCCTATTACCAATAATTCATGTATATTTATATCACTCTTCCATAGACGGTCTATGCTGATGCTCATGTGAGTATACATGCGGATGGTACACAAGAAATTGTCAGTGGAAATTGTACACTGCTCAAGTATGTGTATCAGAACCCTCATTAATAAACATCATAACCATCACTGGACCCCTTGTATAGGTTTGATATGAGCCTAGCATCGACTTCCATTGGTCAGTTCTCATTAGCTCCTCTTCAGGTTACAGTCAATGCTCTTATTAATGCATTCGTATTACCACAAGCAAACAGTACGTTAGTTAATAATGTACCACAATTGATTCTAATTACAATTTTTAAAATTTTATTTCTTTCTTACAATTAGAGTACACAATGAGAGGGATCACCATTCCAATGTTCGATGGAGTATCATTTGTTAATCCTCAACTGGAACTTGGAGAGGTTAGTCTAACTATAACAAAATTTTTTGTAGCGTAAAAAATTAATTTAAAACGAAATTATTATTATATTCATTCATTCTCCACAGGGATACATACTGGTTAATTCTGATATTAATTACAAGCCAAGTTACTGGTCTGATTATTATTATTAAGAAGCTGAACACTTTTTCTGGATAGCTAATGCTTCTTTTTAATGACATTTTTGTACTGTCTCCATTGTTTTTATTGTCTTGTAGAGAGCATTGCATAGAAGTATCATTATTTTTTTAAATACACTTTGTTTTTAAATAATTAAAATAATACAATATTCATATAAATATTCTCTAGTAAGGTTCTAGACATAGTTAGTGTACTTACAATTATCCATATCACCAACACCAAAAAACAATAATAACATTAGATCAAGATAGAAGTGGAAAAAAACATAAACTATCAAAAAATAATGCATCACAAAAATCAAAAAATATTAATACATACCACATAGTTTTTTGATATAATATAAAAAATAATTTTATGTTTTTATGTTCTATATAAACTATCATTCAGCATGAATTGACATTCCAGTTGAACGCCACGTGACATATTATTAAATAAATATTTGCAGTGAAAGTGGTGACAACCATCATGGGAAATCCCATCCTATTGCAAAACACAATTTATAAATACAATGTACATGTACATGCCCAGAATGGCTATCTGTATAAATAGCATTATCATACTAACTTAAAAAATCCGTTGAAAGTTATTTTGTATCCATTTTGTTCAGCCAGTCCAGCACATACCACGTTAGCCGATGCCCCAATTAATGTACCATTACCTATTGGAATCAATAGAGGCCAATGGCCAGAGACTGTAATGGTGAGTATATACCTCCTAGACAAGCTCCAAAGGCTAGAGTCCAAATAAGTGGCTTAGCTGGTAGACAGACTTCAGGAGAGTCTGCTAACTTTATGATTACTGGAATCTGATAAGATAAAATACATCACACAAGAGAAATTTTCAAAATATAGTGTCTCTCTCCCCCCTTTCTCTCTCTTTCCTTCTCTCTCTCTCTCTCTCTCTCTCTCTTTCCTTCTCTCTCTCTCTCTCTCTTTCCTTCTCTCTCTCTCTCTTTCCTTCTCTCTCTCTCTCTTTCCTTCTCTCTCTCTCTCTTTCCTTCTCTCTCTCTCTCTTTTTCTCTTACCATTGCTTGTGTGAATGGTATATTATCAATGAATGAAGATGCTATAGCTGATACCCATAGAACTAGCACTATTGCTACAAGTAACTGCTTGTCTTCATCTACTTGCTATGGAAAAGAGAGGGGTAATCATAACTTGCAGGCACACATACACATAATGCATCAGAAAGAATTATAAAAATGGAGAATCCTCTCCTTTTTACTTTGGGCAAAATTTGGCCTGAGATCATGTCTGATTTTGAAGCAACTTTATAAATTTGTAAAAATGCAATTTTGATCAGAATTAGTTCAAACTTTCTACACAACATAAGTATATACACATATATTTATCAGAAAAAAATATAAAAATGAAGAATTCTCAACTTTTCAATTTTGGCAAAATTTGGCCCGGGGCCATGTACTATAGTACAAGGACTTTGGCTCGATTTTGGAGCAATTTTAAAAATTCATAAAAAATCTAATTTTGATCAAAATTAGTTAAAACTTTCTACACAACACAGGAACATGTATATGCATCAGGAAAAAATTTTAAAATGAAGAATTCTCAACTTTTCAATTTTGGCAAAATTTGGCCCGGGACGATGTACTATAGTACAGGGACTTTGGCTCGATTTTGGAGCAACTTTAAAAATTCATAAAAAATCTAATTTTGATTGGAATCAGTTTAAACTTTTTAAACAACATAAAAACATGTATATACATTAGAAAAAAAATTTAAAATGAAAAATTCTCAATTTTCAATTTTGGCAAAATTTTTGGAGCAACTTTAAAAATTAGTAAAAAATCCAATTTTGATCAGAATCAGTTCACACTTTTACACAACATAAGGACAAATATATGTATGACATAGCTTCAAAATGCTACTCTAATACGTTTATTTACCATGCAACTGTATATCACAACTACAATAAAACCATTGACTGTGTTAATATTAGAATAATTCTTGAAATGCTTATCACAGTCAAAATTGATTCAAATAAAAATTTTAGATTAGGCTAGTACATCTAAAGTCCACATACTCCAGTATTCTTTAATTTATACCTCATAACACATACCTTGATAACATCAACTGTTATTCTTCCAATAAATTCCATGAGTCCAAGTTCAGCAAGTCCCTCCATTAGTACAAACAGGCCAGCAAAGAACAAGAGTGTGCCCCATTCAACTTTATTCAGTATAGCCTCCAGCTCTTGTATATCAGCCAGTATCAGTAACATCAGAGCACCAAATATTGCTATCCAGCCTATGTACATATCAAGATAAATGCACATTATTAAACACACGTTGTAGCTGTAAGATAAACCAAGCATGATGTAATTATAGCTACTACAAACAGAAGATTCATTAACAATGTAAAGTACTACTCATATTATGATAATTATGCATTATGAAAATACACATTATAGCTGTAAAAAATAAACCTAGTGTGATCTAATTTTAGAAAAGTGTTACTAAAAATAGGGGTCTCATTAACAATGTAAAGTACTACATGCATGCAATGTACATGATCATCAATGCTGAATATTTAGCTATACATAGCGTATAGCTAGAAAATTTGGAGTGCTAAAATTTGGCGAATTGACTCTAAAAGAGGTTTGGAGGTTAAAATTTTGGCGAAATTTTAATTCTGTGCATGCTTCTATGGAGCCTTATCAAATTGGAGACTAAAAATTTGGCGAATGGGCCTCGATTCACCAAATTTGCTGAAATTTTACTCCACCAAACTTTTTAGCTATACGGTAGCTTAATTGTCCTACCTAGGTTTAGCTCCACTCCTGGTATAAAATGAGAGAAGAAGAACATCAGTATGACAACTATTAGTACGACAGTCGACTTGAAGAGAAGGAAACGGTCTGTTATCTTATAGCGACTCTCCAAGTCCTCAAGGTTCTTCTTCCAAAGATCTATAGACGAACGTATACTAAAAAAAGAGAAAAAAACAAGTGAATAAAAGATGACATTAATAGTGTGAAAATAAAGGAAAAATAGATGAGAGAGAGAGAGAGGGAAAG